GCTTGTTCGTTTATCGCCGCTTTTTTCCTTGGCGCTACAACACATGCCAGACTGTGGGCACGTTGTCCCAATGTCTCTAGGCTTATATCAAGGGAAATGGCTTCTTATTGTGCTATCGCATGGCTCGAGTTCGTTGTCGCCAGCAAAAAAACAGATGTCCATGGTTTCAGAAACTGTTCACTGGATTACAGGGAGAAATGTGTAAACGGCCGATTTTTAATATAGGCCAATAGATAGCTCAGTTGGTAGAGCCGCGAACGGTATTCCGAGGTCCCGGGTTCGAGTCCCGGTCAGGCTTGCACATTTTTTCCCACCCTGTGACATTTGGCGCCCAACGGGGGACTGTGACTGCATATAGCTCAGAGTTTAATTCACATTGCTCTCTTTAACTCTGTGAAATTCAAATTACATATATGCAGGGGAGTAATGTAACGGTTTCAGAACTGTTCACTTAATAGGGGAGAAGATGTGTAAGCGGGCAGATAGCTCAGTCAGTAAAGGCCGCGGAACGGTATTTCCCAGGGTCCCCGGGTTTCGAGTCCTGAGGTCAGGCTGCACATTTTTTTTTCACCTTGTGACACAGATTTTAAAGCCCTAATAAGCTGATTCTTCCATTTTAGTCCAAGCGACAATGTGGCCATCAGGCCACACACTGCGAGACCAACCTGCCAATTGGCTTGTTTCGCTAGCGACATGACAACAATAAGATGTCCAAGAGAGCAATCTCGACTTTTTGGTTTAAGGAATAGGAAGTTGACTAGTCGTACGGGCCCGTACGGCTAGCCAAAAGTTCTAGCCGTACGTGAGTCACGTACGACTAGCCAGGACTCGCTGTATTGTCTAGCCCCGTACGGCACTTTTTCAAAAATTATATAGAAGTCGACCATGTTAAATATGTTATTTTGTGCCTCATGATTATGATTTGTTTTTTATTTGACTGAAAGATGTTTTTTTGTTAATTAAGCACATGGATCGAATAAATAATGATCGGAGTGAAATAAATAAATAAATACATAGAACATTGAAAAAAAAACGGTGAAAAGCAAAAATAATTGTAATAATTTTTCAAATTCAGTAGATAAATATCGAACATAAAAGCACAAACAATTAATAAGCCATAAATTTAAAGCCTACCCAGGGACTGACAATAGAATTTTAAAATGCGTTTCACGGAACATGCAAACTTTCCTTAATGATGGACAAACTTCTATACCGTCGGTATTTAAATCAAACGCAAATATCAGAGCCTAACATTGATTTTTTTTTTTCATTTTAAAGGTGTCGAAAATTAAACTTTATGAAACAAAAAGGATTATTATCAAAATTTTGTAAACTATTTCAAATTGATGTTATTTAACTGCGACCTAACGCGTATTTTTTTTCTCGATGTCTTGAAATGATAAAAATCGATATTCGTACTTCTTTTACTGTAGCCAACAAGGCTATTAATCTCTATTTCAAGTAAATTATACGAAGACAATTACTATTTCATGGTTAAAATCCTCGCTTAAAGTTTATGAAAAAACAATATATGTATAATTTCGACTTCTATATAAATTTGAAAAGTGCCGTACGGCTAGACAATACAGTGTGTCCTGGCTAGTCGTACGTGACTCACGTACGGCTAGAACTTTTGGCTAGCCGTACGGGCCCGTACGGCTAGCCACTTCCTTAGGAATAACAATGGTTTAAAAAGCAAAAGCAATGCATGAAATATGGAATGAACAAAATATATTCCTTTATATGACTTCATTCTTTGTTTTGCCAACTTTCATATCAGATAATGGTTTTATACGGGCCTTTTATCCCTTTTATACACAAAACACAACAAAACCCAAAAAGGAATCCCGGACAATCCCCCTCCCGGACGATTCCCCTCCCATATTATTTTCACAACCCGGACATTTCCCCTCCCGTTATTTTAATAGGGCGGACTTTTCCCCTCCCGTTAATTTAGCAGAGCGGACAATTCCCCTCCCATTTTTTTAGCAGAGCGGACAATTCCCCTCCCGTTTTTTCACATTGCGTATAAAAAAATCTATAACCATTCTTATCAAAAAGATGACAGTTTTTACTCTTAACAATAAACTGTTAAAGATCGGAACTTTTAACAATCATTATTTCACTAAAAGTGACATTATACCGCCTTTAATCATTGCCGCCGCTGCTTAAGATAAACAAACTGTCAATAAAAAATCTTTAATCATTGCCGCCCTTAATTAAATGTGTCCTTGATTGCAAAAATTGTATATACCTTTCAAATAAACAATATTATATAATATATATTAGGGATGTCATTCGGAAGATCCGGATATCCGAACGTTCGATAACGATTAGTTTTGACAATACACATCATAACCTCTGCAGTCCACAAAAAATTCAATAATTACTATAATAATTACGAGTCAATTATGAAACATGTTGTTAATCGAAATCTAAGTTTTGTAAGATTCTAAGTCCCGTGGCGACTGTCATCGGCAACGATGTTACATTTTTTTTATGTCCAAATTTAAAAATATTTAATTAGGTTATTAAATTTATATATATTTCGGGGCTTACCGACCCGTCGACTCCTTATTTTTAGACATTGAAAAATCTGCAGAAAAAAAATTAGCAAATAAAGAAATTCACTTTACGCAATTATATGTTAATTATCAAAGCTTTTATTGAAATTGATACGAAAAATTATCGACAAAATAACTTTCTCCTTTAGTATTAATCAAACATGTGCATTTTTTTTTAAAAAACATTTTTTTTTTCACATTTCTTTTTTCTCTTAATGAACACTTAAAATGTGTGTAATTCATGTAAGTTTCGGCACTTTCTTTGATGATTCGAATCAAACAGCCAGTGCTACATGATGGTAAACATCAAGATTGGCAGATTCTTTTGAAAAAGCCGGCTACACGCGTGTCAAAGGTCATCGTTGTGTAAATTGTATGCGTGTTATTGAACAAGGAAACATTATATTTAATTTTTACGGGTATTATTTTGTTTTCACAAATGTGAGCGAATTTTATTGCGTACTATAGCGCTAATTGAGGAATTCAGACAAATCGGCGGCGATTTTCGTTTCCATTTCATTTGAAATCGTAAGTACCGACACGCACTAAATTTATTAATAAAAGCTAGTCGTATTCTATATAGAAGAAATAAAAATCAATAACGGAAGATTTTTGATAAGTATCATTCAATTAAAAAGGAAGAAAAACGAAATACTACAATTTGAAAAAGGTCGCGAAAGAAATGGTTAACGTCATATCAGGACATCCTTAAGAATTTATGACAACGGGATCCGAACCATCGCGGAATTGTTTTTTTGATTCAGGATATCGGATGGCCGTTTTCGGCTCCAGATGACATCCCTAATATATATATTCAACAGCCACGGGAGGGAAATTGTGGCCGCTCTGACAACAGCGGGAGGGGAATTGTCCGGGTTGTTAAAAAAGAACGGGAAAGGGGAATTGTCCGGTTGATAAAAGAACGGGAGGGGAATTGTTCCCGCCGTAAAAAAATAACGGGAGGGGAAATGGTGGGAGGTTGTAGAAAAAACATTCAAATTTTACTTTTGGGAGGGGGAATCGTTCCGGGAGGGGAATTGTCCGGATACCCCCAAAAGTCATGCAAACTGTTTGACAGTGGACAGCAAAAAGTTAAAAATGCATTATCATACCCTTCTTCATAATGATAAGTTCAGCAAGAAGGATTCCTCTAAGTTGAATATATGCTGTCAAGTGCTGTACCTTTTAATAATTCATGTTGTTTATTGACAATTACACAAAAAACGCACACATAATGTGTTGATCGAATAAAATTTAACTGATCAATTCACCAAAGTTATACAGCCTCATAGTTTGTCTTTCCAGGGATCATCCACAGGCTCGTTTACTGGTTCCAGAATGACTTTCGTAATTTAACTTTAATAAATTGTCCCTTTCAAGTCTATCCTCAGTATGATCTTCAATTTAATCGGTTTAAAAATGAACATTTTGTATCATGATTTATCCCGATTATCGACACTGACAGCTGATTTTTAAAACTGTTTATTTCCGGCTCTGGAAAAGGTTGTTTCCGTTTCCCGTCACTACGCCAACTTAAAGAAATAGATCGTTGCCAATCATATAAAACCGATAATTTCCGAAGCAAAAATGAACAAAAGTTGTGACGAAGCGTACAAACGGCAGCCATTTTATTTCTGGTTAATGTTTGGTTAAAAATTTAACCCACCTCATATACGTGGGTTAATTTTAAGCCAGAAATTACGCTGGATAAATTTAAGCTAAAATTTTATACAATCGTTAACCAAAGTTATTAACCCAAAAGTTAACCTAACCTGGATTTAACCCAGTGGTTAAAGTTTAACCAACGTTTATACATTGGGTGCTTGGGTAACTAGTTACGGTTTTAACTACTTTAAGCCTCTATGTTAACTAAGTTAGGTTATCAGGTTAACTAGTTACGTAACTAGTTAACCTCTTAATTAACTAGTTAGGTATCAAGGTTAACTAGTTACGTAACTAGTTAACCTCTTAATTAACTAGTTAGGTATCAGGCTATCTGGTGGCAGAAATATGCCACCATACTTTATGTACCGTCATTGCTTCATATTATTTTAGGTAAAAATAGAAACAACAACATTGACGATATGAATTCAAGTAAACTATTAAAACTATCAATTAAAAAAAAATCAGAGCTTTACGGATAAAACCCCGCCTAAAACAGCACAATAATATAAGGTTCCGGAACATTGTATTCTGTTTATGTACAATATTCATGTATTCATCTTATGTTGCAACTCTTTCGGGAATCAACAATAAAATGTTGGAACGAATACATTTTTACTTATTTTAAATTTTCTAAAAAAAAACATTTCATAAGATACAGTTTTTCCCCCCGATGACGCTTCGGTACATAACGATGCATATGAGGGCATGTTTATGAATAGTTTCTCTATACAACATATTTACATATCTATATGTACCTTAAGGGCAATTAAGCATATAGTGAAATGGACGACGAATGTTTTACACAATTTATAAAATTCCTGTTCATTGAACCGAATGTCGTAAACAAAACTGAATAAACTACATATACCTTCTCACTGAAACGGAAAAGGAATAGCTCTCTATTTAGCAAATATCTGCGTTCAAATTGCCGGAAGTACATTTGTCCGGTGAGTACGTACATATATCATTATATTCTTTTTTTACCAGAGACAATATTTACACTAAATTTAAAATAGTAAAGGAAATTCACACTGAATACAATTTAACATACATCAAAAGGAGACATGCGTACATATACATCTATAAGCATATTTTCGACACATATTTTACATATGTAAACCGGCAAATTCAGTCACTTTTTGTATCTTGATGTAACGTCGTTGGCTGGATTTTATCTGAAAGCTTATGTAAGCTTAATAAACAACACAGTTACAAAATAATGTCTTTTCAATTCTTTCATAAAAATAATTAGTAATATAAATCTCGTTGGTATAATTTTGTTCATGGTTTTAATTCTAACCTTCTAAACTCTGTTGCCTTTTCTTCAATATCAATTAGAATTTCTTACTATCAAATGTTGTTTTCTAAAAAATAAATAAATGAATAAATAAATAATGACAAAAAGTTAAGTTCTATGGCTGATATTGATTTTATCTGCAATGGACTTAAAGATCCTGTATGTTGTGACCAAAGTGGTAAACCAGACTAAGTGAAATTATACATATGTACATAATTATGCAAATAAAACAATGCTCAGACATCGAAGACTATGTAAAATATGTACTGCAAATATTTGTGCATATTATATGTAATCACTAAAATATATGCATCCATTTCTTATTGTAAAATTGGACTTAAACTTTATAGAAAACAAAGTTTTTATTACCTCCCTGTATTTACACGAAATGTTAAATTCGGTAATATCTTTATAAATAATGCTTTTTCGAACCTACAATATTGATATATGTTAATTTGAGCATCATACCATAAAAAATTGTGTTACAGGATTTTTAAGCTTATTCTGAATTTGGCTGACCACTGGTCACCATGGACTGGCTGATATTGTTTTTATCTGCCATGGACTAAGTTGACATTGAAGTTTGCTGACGTTAGCTTTATATACACTGACTTTGGTTGACATTTATTTTGACTGACCTTTATTTTGAACCGCATTGACTTTAACTGACATTGACTTATTTTGAGACTGACTTAGACCGATATTAATATTGACTTTAATTGTAATTGACTTTTGCAGACATTTACCATGGGTGATATCTATTTTTGCTAACATTAAAGTCATCTGACATTGAAATTGACCGACATAGTTGTTGCCACATGTGTGACAACGAACATGGAATAATTTATTTGTTTGTATATAATGTAAATGAATATCTCGGATTTATTTCTTTAAAGTTTAAAAGAAATACTTTATGTCACTATGTAAATTTTGACTTTTTACAAAAAATAGCGAATATCTTACTTAGACTTAAGACTAAAACTCGACAGTTTCTAAAAACCCTTGCCACAGTATTGCGAAAGATTGCGATGTGTGTTGACAAACTTTTTAATTTATTTTCATTCGACCTTTTTTCAGAAGAGAGATATAAAAGGAGAATACGATGGAACCAAGGGGATCCCAGATATCATATGATATCAGTACGCCCGCGTTAGACAACCGTATGGAAACGATGCTGGGCCTACATGGGTTTGAAGGTAAGCACCAATAAAACAAATATAATGTTAATTTTAACATAGTGAAGAATATAAGAAGCTTTGCGCCGTACTAAAGTGAATGAATTAAAAAGGGTGGTGTTTGAAAAATGGCTATTAATACGTGAAATCGTCGCTTCAGGATAATCGATTATGTTCATTTTTAGGAAAAATATTTTGATTGCAGGGTATTATTGAAACCTAGGAAACTATTTCTTAATGTGTGTTTTTTGATAAGGAGAGTATACAAAGCTGCAACATTCATCCTTTATTACAAAAATGCTAGTTTTTAACGACACTATGTATATGTACGGTATTTACCAAAGGATGTAGAGTTTTCAACTTGTTCGTACTCAAAAGATTTATTTACATTAAAAAAGAGACTGTATAGCAATTATCAGTATTTTCAAATATCAAATGAGCATAATATATATCTAACCTTTAACTGATAGCAGATTGAATACTGCTAAGGGACGTTTAATTCTAAATGCTCAGTTTAAAAGAAAGAAACCTAAAAAAGTATATATTTCGGAAGTTATACATATCAATTTATAAAACTTTAATTGACCTGAATTATAGTTGTGTGTGAATGATTTCTCTGATAAGTAAACATGTTCTTTACGCTTCCTTTTCAAAATACGTAAATGCTCACATATCATGCGTCTCACTTCCAAAGATTTTTTTTAGAAAAAAAAGTGCATAATGTAATCTAATTGCAAAAAACAGGAAAAAAGTGCATGGTCCCTACCTTGTTAACAGATGTATGTCAGACCATGATCATTTCCATTTCTTTAATCATAAAACCTAAATGAGGTTTTTATCCTTTTTAAAATGTTCGTTTTCATTAGTAAGTATATGATAAGAACTTTAATTTTTTTTAACTCAAGCATGAATAGTAAAGACGTTCCTTTAACCGACACACTTATTTATTCACATTCTTCTGTTATCATACTTATTGTTATGGAATTTGAGCACGTGACAGCAAAACCGGATACGTATGTTTTTTTTTTCTCTTTGTAGATCCTGATGCTCCACTTACAACAGTCGATAAAATCAACTTTGGCATACTTATAACGATTCTATATGCATCATTTATTGTTTCGGTTGTTCTCACTTCTGTCTATAATAGTTAATTCACCCATTTATTATTTTGTTAAATACATTGTTCATATAAGCTTGATTAAATATCTCATATTGTAACATTTTGTTGTTGTTGTTGTTGTTGTTGTTGTATATATTATTTTTTTTAACTGTTGAAAGACACTTTTATGTAACGTAAATCTGTTCGTATTCCAAGATGCTTGTTGAAATTATGAAGGTAATCAAATGGTATAATGTTTATCTAATGATATATTCATATATAAAAATAAAAAAACGGTTAAATTATGTTGATTCCATAATCTTATGGTCGTTTTTTAACGAGTTTTAATATAAAATGTCTCTGTTATATAAGACATATGAATGCTATGCATAAGCCATAACCAAAATAAAATTTTCTGGATCAAATTATTATGCAGCGATTTTAATTAAATATTTAGAATTTCAGCAATAATTTCATGCATGCGTCATAGCTCAAAAGGGAAATACATGTATATATTTATTTCATACAGGATTTTAGAATAATTTTGTTATAATTCTGATTACAAAAATTAAACAGAACATTTGTCAACTGCAGCACGGATCTTAATTACAATACAATAATAATAAGTAATATAAATCCGTGACTGCAGACATCAGTACGTTGGCACAAAGGTGACATGTGTATGTTTTTTGGGAGGCTATGCCTCCCCAATGTTAATAACCGTCCGTCAAATCTTACTGCCGCGGTAATCAGGTCAAAAAATAGTACCTTGATTTTTTCTAAGCTGACTCATCACTCATCACAGACATTTACAATATGAAAATATTTTCATTCTTTAATTTCATATTTGCAATTTGTAAAGATAATAATTCTCTGAAAAATTCTTGATTTTTGTTTGTTATTTTTTCAAAATCACTACTCCGTGACGTCATACTGCCGCGGTAATCAGGTTTAGGCATACGTACGTCTGTAATAAATAGTTCTGGTATGAAAACCCTTCTACATAATAACTTTATCAATAATTTTTTAACAAAAAGCATAAATGAAAATTTATAAGTAAATACTTTAATTAGGTGGCAAACATTCTTTATTATTTTTGATAACAATTTTCCAATTACTACGCAGCGACGGGTCATTAACTAGAACGTTGCAACACCGTAGTTGTTCTTTTGTTGATATAAACCATTTTAATAGTCCTTAATATTTTTTAAAGACAAATAATGGTAAATTGTCGCTTACATCAGAGACATGGATCGTGCTTGCGTGATAACTAAGGAAAACTAACTTATTAGTACACCCTAGGAGGCTGTACGCGGAAAACGCTCATAAACCGCTATATCATATAGCTGTAAAGTGAACAGTTAAATGACAGAAATATGTGGTCAAATATGTTTTAACAAGGAAATAATTATTTCAGAGAAAGACGCAAAGATCAGTCTTCAATCAAATGAATGACCCCGTATTGTGTAATTAGAAAGTTTATTCAATTCTAGGGCAACGCATCATAATTTGATAGTACATGTGTAATAAAATTCAAATTTTCAATAAAAATTATGAGATACATAAAAAATATTAAAAAATAAGAAGCTTAAAAAACAACAACAAAAAAAACAACAAAAAAACGCATATATATACGAATGACTTACAGTCGAGCATCGGGAATTCATCAACATATCTTACAAAACTTTAATTTGAAAACGATATTTGCGCGCGCTGAAGTGATTAATGTTTATTTGAATAAATCAAATAAAAAAACTTATATGTTTGTGTTCTAAAAATAATCGGCGGCATAATAGGAATTTCGTATTCATTTTACAACACTTGAAAAAATACTACAGAAAATGTATTGTTGTTTTTTTGTTTTGTTTTCAACAAAAGTGTGTGTGTTTTAAGTTTATTTATACTCGGGGCCGGAATAACCATATGTCCGAGATTATAGCATCGGGGACATCTTTTTCAAGCCGAATCTTCCTGGTAGCCCATTCTCCGTTCGTTGGTGGTAAAGGAGACGACAATACTGTCAAGGCATCAACTTCCTGACTGACGACAACAAAAACGGCATTCATTAGCGCCAAACCTTCAGAGTAAGTCACGACAGGTCAACCAATCACCTCTGGTACTTGAGATGACTTGACCTTGACCTGCCGTGTGCCTTCTCCGCGACGTGCACGCCTCTGGAGGGATTTGGAGAAGTTTCAACAAAAACTTCCAAAACACGCTATTTATAACACCATCCATAGCACTGACGCTTCGATGTTCTCATCTATTTGCGGGAAATGGTCGACAGGGAAAACCCTATGTAATAACCGCACACCCTGTTAACAATAGATTTTCCGCAGTTATATTTCAAGCTAGTGAGGTTTAAAAATACATGTAGAATCTATCTATTAACTACCATAAGTTGGTAAAAAAAAAAAAGATATAACTTCCTGATCAATTTTCACTTAGGTTGATTCAATTTTGAATAAGCTTTGCAGATATGTATTTTTTCAAGAAATATTTAGTTTTAATAAATATCCGAAGCCGTCAAAGTCAGCGACGAGTAATGAAATGGGAATAATTTTCTGAAACGTGATTTTATTCGAGATTTGCTTCGGGAGAAGACAACTTTCTGTCCGTAGAGCATGAATATTAATACTCATCACAAGACAGTATCTTATTGATCTCAATTATGGTACATGTAAATATGTATAATTTTTATGTTCAATAAAAATGTTGCATAACTTGCAGTTGTTATTATCATTCAATGATAATAAAATGACATAAAGTATTTATGATGAACAGTCCTAGAATATTTTGATAAGGAACAGTCATTGTTATCTTATAATGAACAGTCGTCATACTTTCTGGTATGTCATTTATTATTGACAGTTTAGGTTTTTCAAAATTTGCAGGATTAGCAGTCCGAATGTAGACCTCAATGAAATGTTCTGGAATATTAACAAAAAGAATAGTCAACCATATTAACCATATATATGAATGGTTGAACACAACAGTAAGGATAAATGGCACAATGTGCATATCTTCTTATTTTGGTAATAATTGAAATAACTGCACATTTTAAGCAAAAAGAAAAGAAACTATAAGTCTGAAACATTCTGTCATAGCCTCCCCATCAGTACATTCAGTGCTTTGATTATTTATCTCGTTGCCACGAGATACTTTGTCGTGGCCACGAGTTACTAAGTTACTCTTTGACCAGTCAATAATTTGTACAAGTAAAATGGTTTCCTGCGGGGAACATTTTTAATGATATAAAGATATTTCATTTAACTATTTTCAACATTGTTTGGGGGGGGGGGGGGGGATAAATAAGCGATAAACGTTTGTATCAGGAATATAGTTGACAATGATCGATCAATATAGAAGAAGGTCTTTGGAAATTGGTGACCGTTGATGACCGGAGAAGGTCGAACATAAAACAATTATTTCTTTTTAAGAAAATGATTAAATAGGAGAGATTTACCACCACGTCACTGATAACTGCTGTGTGGACTACGTATACACACAATCTTAGAAGGTCGTACAGACAACATGTAAACAATGATAGCATTTTCTGTAAAGTTAACATAAGATGATGTTCCTGGGGCAAAGTTTTAAAGATCAGTATTATCTGAACATATATTTTTTGTAATATTCAAAATGAAGAAAGAAAATACAAAACTATTTTCTAAATAGTATTGATATATTTTATATATAAGATAAGTGTGATGTTATAAGGTTTAATTTTTGCTAAACATCTACATGTACTTTTATGTCTATATCAATCTTGAAACAACTCGCTACATGACATGTATTGTGTTCTATGAATTATCATTTTTATGTGAAATAAGCCTGCTAATTGCTCAGTTTTGTTTCATTTTCATTTTCCTTTTTTTCACCCTGTCAATGTAAATATGTTTTATGATTCAAGGGTATTATATTTCAGCCATTGTTAAATGTATGCTTAAGACCCAAAACTGAGTGTTGTTAACATAAATATAATTTAAAACTTTATGCTTAGTTCATGTTCAGTTTTAAGTATTAAGCAAGTCAAAGTGACATTATGCTCATATTTTCATAGTCAATTGACTTTATATTTCAAAAGATTGACTGTTAAAATGGTGTTTGACCAACAGGTGATATTTGAAAATGTTTGTGATAAATTTAATTTATTTAAAAAGTTGACAAAATCCCCCAGTTAAACATGTTTACAGCAGCCTATATAAAAAAGAAAAGGCAACATAATTACTCAAAATAGTCATGTGTCACATCTGTGCACTGTAAAAACGGGTGTTTAAGTTTTAAACACATTTCGAAACACTTTTCCTGTTACACTTTGGAAACACTATAGAATGGAACACGTCACATGTTCACGAATAAACGCACAGATGTCCCCGTTTTACACGCTTCCTGGTGTTTCAAACTGAAACATGTGACACGTTTCATAGCAGAACACTTGTAATGTTACAGTTTGGGAACACCTGAACATGTACAGTAAACACGTTTGGTGTTTCAAACTGGAACTTGCAACATGTTTCCTAACCCACATGTGCTGCTTTCAAAGTGTTCCTGATAAACATGTCACATATTTCAATTTCAAATGCATTACGTGTTTACTGTATATGTTCAGGTAAGATCAAAACAACTAAGGAAATACATGTACAGCATATTTTAACTACAAAAAATGCTAATGAAGTATTTTTGGAATTTATTTATTATAACATTATACAGTTTTTTCATTTTTAATTTAACATAATTCAAGAATACAACTTCGCTAAACACAAGCATGAAATGAGCTGTTAGAGCGACAACATGCCTGCACTATTCTCTATGCATTTACTCCAAAATGAGGCATAATTACCTTGAATGGGTATTGGTAAATAATATTTTCGTATCTAACACATGTACAAAGTTTCGGCTAAAATTCTATGACTGGAGATACAACTTTCACACAAAAAAAATACATAATTTTATATGTGCAGAATTTTCTAAAAGGAACAACATTTAGTCAAAATGCAGAACAGAGATATTGGTATTTTTATGTGAACTTATATTTGCATACACAAAATGGTGAAGTTCCAAATAAATATCAGAAGTCCATGGTTGCCTTTCTTTTTCTAAAAAACTTAACATTGTG